ATTTTATTTTATTTTATTTTTTATTTAATAAACAAGATTTTTTTTTGTATTTTCATTCAGTTCATGGAGTCTGCCTGCATTTTGAGTTCCTCTGTACAACAAACCTGACAGGAATGACGTGAATGTATTTAGTTATTATACACCTCTGGAAACCAGGCAAAAGATCACTCTCAGCTACTGTCGCACCAACTTTTACCTCAATAGGGGTTGAATTGACTGAATCATAAACATGTTTGTGTTTATTAGGACAGTTGAGCTCAATGAGGTGTACTGAATAAAGGTGTCACACACACTTCAGAAGATTGACCTCTGTGGTACGAGCGTGTCGCCATACTGGAAGGGGTGGGCTGTCAATGTAAACAATTTATTATGGCTATGTTTCTGTGTAGGATTGCATATAAATCTTAATTTTTCATTGGTTAATATTAGAAACATCCTTCATTGCAGACATGTCCCAATAGGCAATATGTTTTTTCCTAAAATAGGCTGACAATTAGTTCTATAAAATAAAATAGTTGTCAATAGCAAAGTGAGCTTCACTGATGTGCTGATGTTGAGTATTACAGCTTGAAAATATTTTTTCAAGAAAAATGTTGTACACAACTAATTTGCCTTCTAAACTGAGTGGCTCAGAATTTTTGCACGTTGGTCATAACACACGTGCACAGTTTTTGCGCATTCACCGGAAGTAAGGGGGATCATTCGCCGTACGAGTCGAGTGTTTACATTCCTTCCAACGATAGCAATGGGGAAAAGTGACTTTTCTAGTGTGTATAATTCTTTGAGGCAACATGACCGAGTAAAAGATAAAGGAGAAGCTTGCTCCTTTTATCAAATTCCTCTTGGAAAGTCGAGCAAAGCTGCCACGAGAAGAAAGCTGTGGCTCAATGCGCTTCGCTGTCTCGACTTCACTCCGACGAAAAACAGTAAAGTGTTTGTGAAGTTAACCATCCATGAATGTGTGTCGCTAAACATACACGATAACGTGATAGCYAAATGGTAAATGCGATAGCTCTCGCCGTCCTCAACGTTTTTGTATCGGCAATTGTCTTCTTTGACACGGTGGCCCATCTCGACAGTTGCTTCACAATGATGTCCTCGCGAATCCGCGGCACACTTTTCAGGGACATGTCCATTGGTTGTCCACAATTTTCCAAAACCACACATCAATATTGCAACTCGCCATCATCACCTTGCTTTTTCAAATTACCCCCCCTTCCCTTTTTGTGCAGAAACTGTGGTGGTATTTTGCCATCCAGTCAAAACATTTGTTTTATGCATGCTTTGTAATGTGCAAAGGGTCAGTTACAAATAGCTACAGCTCACAAATGCACTGTATCCTAAAAACTGCATGTTCTTTTGTTTGTAACAAAGTTTAAAAAAGCAATGTATGCAATTGTTCTGTAAGGAAAGTAATGATTGGTTGTCTTATTTTTAAAACTTCATTCTAAACAAGAACAAAGTAGAAAACAACAAACCAGAGGAGACAGGGGAATTCTGTCATAAAAAAATGCAAGTAATAAAGCCATACACCAGCTGGACCAAAATACAGACTCTTTATTCTGATGTGTGTTTGGCCTCGAATCAGGAAGTTGCAGTCAAATATAAACAGCTTCTTCCGGATCTGGGCCCACCTTAAAACAGGACATCACATTGGTTCCACCTCCCTGCAGGTCGTGTCTTGTCAAAAATCAGACTGGATTAGATTTCAAATAAATTTTTGAGTAATAATTCTGTGGTAACGCTCCACATAATCAAAGTTAAATGGGGGAAGACGACTTGTGAACTAATTCTAAATATAAAAGTAAAAAACAAAATAAAATGGTGAATTATGCATCCTTCAAGGCCCTAAGCAAGATTCAAACTCACAGACAAATCATTTCATGTCCACTGCTCTGTATTAGCACAAACTCAGCTCAGTAATTCACAGTTGCCACAGATTAGGTTAAAAACAGTCCTACCTTCTTGGTAAAAAAAAAAGCACATTTTCCCCCCTTTTATGTACTTAGTTTTTGGTGTTCAGTTCAAACTTGCTCTGTTTGCTCCAAATGCATTTTCAAACAAAACGATCTCCTCTGTTGGACACCAGTTTTGCTGAGCGTTATTCCTGCAATTTATGAGGTCATGTTAGGTGTACTGTTTGTATCAATGCACTAAACCAGTAGAAAGTGTCTATAGGGCAGAATTTTTAACACCCCAATGAGACTATATTCAGAGGAGTTGATAATACCAATTATTGCTGACAGGGGGAATAAATCCACTGACTGTAGGGCATTGGGCTGTACCACCCTATGTCTATAAGGAAAAACTGAAAACGAATTACTAAAAAAAACTTTCAAATTCAATTTGAAATYGTAAAAGTGGAAAAACACATGGAACAAAACAATACATGGCAAGCTAGGTTAATCAGTAATTTACATCGTTCATTGGGAGGAACTACTTTGTGGGGTGAATGATTTGTGTTTTAGGTGTCCTCATGGACCAGCGGCACCTGCTTTGAAATAGAACCAAAATAAAAGCTTTTTTAACACTTCTACAGCAGCTTTTGTCTATATGTTGCAGTTGTCGTGTTGTGACCCCTTTTTCAAAGAAGGGGTTTGTAATACAAGTGGGGGCTTGTCCGGGATCTTTTTCCCGAGCTGCAGACA